GTGTTCTCTTGCCTTGTTATTTTTTTTCTCTTAACTTAGTCAAAAAAATTGGTGCATTGGATTCATTTTCAAGAAAGTACATTATGCTTCTCCCTGCAATACCTATCCCTCATAGAAGAGAGACTTGACACAGACACATGAAAGCAATTTTTTTTGACCACATTTAATACCCATTTCTTGAACTAGGTTAAAGGACTTAGAAGTGGGAAAATTAGGAGCTTATTCCCTTCACTTCTGATTTTACTCTTTTTTATGTGCACATATTATCTCTTCATAAATAATCAAGGTCTCTCAGGTATGTGCTTAGGGGGTCTCCCCAATTAAATCACTAGCTTCCTTTCCTCGGGGACTATATTCTACAGTTTCTTCATTGACAACATTGTTCTCTTGCTAATTTATACACATCATGCATATGCAATATTATGCGGACCCATGCCTTAATTAGAACCTGCAAGCATGAGGAAATCCAAAGACATTGTTTGGAACCCACACCAACAATACAATGGGAAGGGTACTACAGTGAAGTGCTGCTTTAAGGCCAAGGGAGTGACTGGGTCCCAGAAACAGGTACATTAGCTTCTAGATCTCCTTCTGTCCATCCTAATTGGGATGTCATTTCATCTGTCAATGCCCTCAGTGATGACTGTTCCTCAGCCCCCAGTGAATAGGAATAGAAGGAAAATTAACTCAAGGGTATTTTCCTCCCCATCTGTTATGGAGTTACTAGAATTAATTAAGTGTCTAGAATCTGTTTGTTAGACAGTCCTTTGGCTTAAGCTGCCTTCACACTCTGATTCATCCTTCCCCTGACCCATTTCCCACCCCACCCCCTTCTCCTATCATATTTTGAAAGGTTCATGGCTGGCTCCAATCGCTGGCAATCCTCTTTCCTATTAAGCATGGTTTTCATTTTCTTATTTTTATAAACTGGTAATCATCCAAATTTCCTCCTAGGGATGCAACATGCAATGCAAAAACAAGCCATTTAAAGTTTTGCTTCTTCGTGTTATGGACCATTCCTGAACAACAACTGGGTGGAACTAGGAGTTGTCAACAGACATCCAACCCAAACTTGGAAGGTCTGGTAGGAGAAACAGAAGGAAATAGGTCCTTATAAAAGATAAGAGCCATCTGATTGGCTGTATCAAGCTCTGGGGGATTCTATATCAAATATGTTCCCTCTCCTGGCCCTAAACAATGTCATGTTACACTGGTTAACAAAGGGAAATAAGAGAGTCTTTTTTGGGGAGTGGTAAAGGATAGATAAAGAGTATGAGCTCTGTAGTTTGTAGCACTCAAGTTTCAAAGTGTGGGCAACTCCATCATTCTTATGTTGATCTATGACCTGACCAAGCTGGTCAACCTCTTTAAGCCTCTATTGTCACTGCAATGGGAATCACAATGCAACCTTCCTCATAGGCTTGTTATGAAGATTAAATGAAATAATGCATTGCAAAATGGGTAAAGTACTTAATCTAGGGTAAAGTACATAGTGATGGTTCAACAAATGGTAAATATGAGATAAAATTATCTTTTTATTAACAAAGTTCACCTGCCTTACTCATATCTATTTATGTGCTCAGACACAGGAAGAAGTACGTACACTCAGACACTGATAACTCTGGGACTCTGGTTGTCTTTGTTCCACTTGCAGCCTGGATGAGTTAGACAGTGACTACAGAGAGAATCTCTGAAACACAAGGCATGTCTGAGTGGATGAAGTGGCTGCCTAAACTCAAAGATGTGAATAGATAACATTTTTCACAGCCTAATCCCTATTGTACATTCACATTAGCCTTAGGCCTAGTCCCCTCTAAGCTTTGACTCTACCTAGAATGGGCCAGATACACCTTTTATTTTGAGGTTGGAGGGAAGTAGTGGCAACAGGCAGCAAAATATTTTCTATGCCACCATCCCACCACCACCACCACACACACACACACACACACACACACACAC